TAAAAGCAATTATATATCATGCTTTAAAACAAAAACACTTAGCAAAATAATATAATTTTGTTCTACCGTTATCATTTATAAGCAGTAAAATGCGGTGAATATTCTGTTCTTCGTAAGGTTAATCGATGGCCTTCTTTAAGGTTTACGAGTTAAGAATATGTACAAAGAAAGTGCTTTAGAAGAGTCAATAGTCAATGCATTGATATCGAGTTATCTGTCGGTCCAATACAGTATTTACAAGAGAAAGAAAATTCGCTACGACGGTCGTGTGAATATATCAATATTAACAGACATAATTAATCATTAATAACATGGTATCAATCTGTCAAGATATCTGTCTTTTATATAATCGAATTTATAAAAATGCAAACATATGAAATATAAATCAGTAAATATTCCTTCTAAATTATTGGTAAATACATACTGTTTCAGGATAGTGTATTTGAATTTCAAAGATCCCGCAAATCTGACATTAATTATTAAGATTGATATTATCTTAAAGTAGAGGAGAAGGTGGTATTATGGAACACTGCGGGTATTATGGAACACTGCGGGTATTATGGAACCACCCCATTTCGAACTGATAATAAAGGCGAACTGTAGCGGAATGTGGCTGAACTGAACTAGGCGGACATCCATAGCAAGGGGAAAACCCGTTTTACTTCAGTTAAAGGGTTGTCTGCATTTAATCAGCAAATTTGTTTTTTTCAAAATTCGCAAGTTTTGAATGCTAAGTGAATTTAATTATTTTTAAAATATAAATCGTGTAGTTGTAGGTTCACTGGTGCATGTATTCGTTCCAGAGACTTAGGGGTACATATTAATCTGTGTGATGTTCACGTTTTTTAAATTTTGGTTTTGACAGACATAAGTTAATTCGAGATGGCGACGCGTGAAATACGGACCCCTTTGGTGCTTTTACAGTAATATGGAACTCAACTCCTCCGAACTCTCTCTTTGCAAGCAGACATTCGTCCGGAGCAATTTGGGAAAAAGACACTAGGTAGAAAGTCTGAAAATATCGAAAAAGAGCTGCTGGAATATATATTGTTGATGGAGGTCATATTTTTCTATTATAAAAGCATTTTTGCGATAAAATACATTGGAGTAAATAATTTGGTAATTATTTAATATTTTTTGTCCTTTCCTATTTGTTTTTGGCTATATTAAAGCATTTTTTTGAAAATATACAGTAAGGTTCCATATTACCACCCGATTTTCTCTAAGCCTACTTTCGGACTTTTTGTACAAAAGCCTTCAAAAACCATACTTATAATTACACTAGCGAAAAATCCAATTAGGAACATTTAGTTTACTAGTTACCAGTACTTTTCGCACAAAAAATGTGGGTGTAGTTATGCTACCTTGTTTACAATTCACTAAAATGTAATTGGGGTTCCATAATACCACCTTCTCCTCTATATTATTAAAACACTAAAAATATAGCTATAAGCAATTTTATTAGTTAAGAATCAGTACTATTTGGCTAAGTTTGCACTAATTAACTATTTCAATTTCGTATTTCCTAGAACAGTTTCATGTGGAATGTTTCAAAGTAAATACAGTGGAACCTCGGTATACGACCTTAATCCGTTCCTGGAGTTTGGACTTATACCGAATAGGACGTATACCAAACCAACCTTTCCCATAAGATGTAATGTAAAAATGATTAATCCGTTCTCATGTAAAAAAAAAAATGGCTGGCTTTAAACACCTCGCTTTCCTCGCTAGTTTCTGCTTGATTTTTTATGAGATCATCATGTATCCTTTTAACTTTCTCGCAGATAGTTTCTTCCTATACGCTGTCGTGAGCACACTGTTTTTCAGTTATCTAAAGCAAAAGCAATTTCTCGACATGATCTAATGTCTTCGATCTCTGTTTAGAAATTGATTTAACCCCTTTCGCAACGTTAGCAAATTTAATAATGTCTTTATTTTTCACGATTGTGGATATCGTCGTTCTCGGAATACGGAATGCAACAGTTAAATCTCGTTAAATCTCGAACACGCGTGCCACCTTCATATTTCTCAACAATCTCTCTTTTCAGTTCCGTTGTCATTCTAGTAATTTTTTTATTTTCTGTTGCCCTTTTGCAATTCATGATTAATAAAAATAATAAAATGTTACTTACAAATTAAAATCAGAAGAAATTTAACAAAGTTATAAACCGTAGCACTGTGAGTGTTTAGTCTAGTGTAGTACACCGATAGTGCTACTTGTTCATAGATGGCACGTATAATTGAAATAAGTCGTATACCGAACAAAAGTCGTATACCGAGCAAAATTTGTTTCGTCCAAACAGGACNCCGATAGTGCTACTTGTTCATAGATGGCACGTATAATTGAAATAAGTCGTATACCGAACAAAAGTCGTATACCGAGCAAAATTTGTTTCGTCCAAACAGGACGTATTCCGAATTGGACGTATTCTAAAGCGGACGTATACCGAGGTTCCACTGTATTAGTCATGTAACGAATATTCGGTTACTATTCGATATTCAGCCCATTTTTCGTCATTCGGCCAAATACCGAATACCTAAAAACAGGAGTAAGAAATAACAAAAAAAAAAAAAACAGTAAATTAATCGTTTTGGTATTTAGATTTAGTGTTATCGGGTTAGTGTTGTTTGTTTATATTTATTTATAACTTTAACATGCACAAAATAAAATATAAAATAATATTAGTCACATTTATTCACAATTTATAATTACAAAGATCAGCAGACGTACATTACATATCTATTCGTTCGAGAATCGTCGCACATCTGATGGTCTGACCCTGCCTATCCTTCTTTTTAAGCGCTCGTCTTTGCTCTTCCCTTTCTCTTTCCTCTATCGCTCTAATCCATGTATGCCTGTGCATACATCATAATACGCGCTCACGATACTTTCGATTCGTCACTTTTCCGTCGTAGAGTTCCCATTTTACAATTACGTGACTCAGCCTGGTGACAACGGAGAAAAGAGACAGATAGGACGTCGGTATAAGTCACAGTTATGATTTCACAGATTAGAGACAGTTTGGTAGCCCGAACGGTCCCAGGCTTTCGCCCGTGCACGCTAAGTGACTTTCATTACAAGCATTTAGCTTTCCGAAGTCTATGACAACAATTGTTTGGCACTGACGGCCGCAAATTTCGTGCCTATAAGCTTCCTCGACTTGTTCAATTATGTTATTAACTCAATTTCATATTTATTTTCACATTTTCACTTCGCGGTCCTTCTCAGTTCTTTTTCCGTTATTTACACGTGTAGGTCACTTCATTGTTATCTACATTTGATATTATCGTTTATCACATACTGCCATGACGCTCATGTCTGTCCGCTACAACAGTCAAAAATTAACGCGATTGACGAAGAGTAGTGACAGCGGGCAACAGAGAGCAGGGTCCTTGTCATAATGTTGTTTGCGCGCAATTTTTGTACGTGCGTTAATCAAGCCGAATAGTTTAAACGAATATTCGGCTATTCGGTCACGTTCCTGGCCGAATACTCGGTATTCGGCCTGAGGCCTAATATACTATTCGTTATAACACTAATATTAATGGTTTTCTGAGGGAGGTAAAGAGCTGCTGTATAAAATTCGTTACAACACTAGTAAATATTCGTTTATCATCGGAATTACGTAAGATACGTTTTTTTTTATTTTTTTTGCTAATGTAGTGANACACTAATATTTATGGTTTTCTGAGGGAGGTGAAGAGCTGCTGTATAAAATTCGTTACAACACTAGTAAATATTCGTTTATCATCGGAATTACGTAAGATACGTTTTTTTTTATTTTTTTTGCTAATGTAGTGAATATATGAAGAAATTTATTAAATTTACTGAATATTTACTAAATATAAAGTAGGAGGTAAACAAAAGTTTTCTTATTGTCCGTACCCCGTCTTCACACATAACTGAAAGGTTCTGATTTATGTTTTGGCTGTATAGTAGGATTCATTTTGTGTTAAAGAAAATATATGTCATTCGTGTTAACGAACCAAAAACACTCTGAGGCTAACATTACTTACTTTTGGATCAGAAATGAAAGTATTAATAACTGCATCTCATTTATTATTCAGGTTTTTCAACACTGGTCTAAATTAGTGGCAAATATCGTTTGTACATATAAAATTTCTTCGTGTTAACAATTGTAAAGTTTTTAAAATATCATTTAATTGAAAATTATTGCTACAGTTAATTATTTCTCAATGTCTAATTTCTACATTCTTTCTTTAAGATGTATCGTAGAGGCAGCTAACATTTGTCTTGAAGAATTTCCTTAAAAGACGACAAGTTTTGAAGAAGGAAGTAAATATCTACATCTGAAAAAAAATTAATTTGATATTGTAAAGTAATTACAGTATTTCCAAGCTATGCAGAAGTAACTTTTTCTGAATTTTTTCTAATTAACATAAACAAATTATTTTGTACGTTAACATTGAAGTATAGTATTTTGTATTTCGTAGATTTTCTGTATCAAAGTCTGAAAAAGAGGAAGTTTCTCTGTGGAAATTGTGACAAAGAATTCTGTTGAAAGTCACACTTTAAAACTCATAGGAGGATTCACAGAGAAAAAACCGTTCTGTAGCCAGTTATGTAGTAAAACCGGATTTTCCGCAGTTATTCTGAAGGAAAATCTTTTATCTACAACCATTGCAAACGGAGATTTACATAAAAGATCACTCTATTAAGGCATCTTCGAATTCATACGGGAGAGAAATAATCTAACTGCGATTATTGGTTACAAAAGTTCGCTTACAAATACAGTTTGAATTCTTACATGAAACGTCATAGCAAAAAGATACTTAATTAATATAAACATTAAAAAGTTTAATATTTGAAAGGAATAATATAATTCTCAACATCCGCAAACCACACCACTGGCAACATGGTGATTGATTGTAAAGTGAATTCATCGTGATGCAATTATTCGTAAGCAGGTAATGGTTCACTTAGTTATATGCTAATTTCTTAGATAGGTATATGTGAGATCATAATAAATAAACGTGTGAAGTCAGTTTTTATGTCGGATATACAGAATATACAAATAATGTAATTAAAAAATCATGCTCCTGCGGAAAAGCGGTGAGGTCAAAGTCACGTGGCATCTGCAGCCAATTACCGTGATGAATTCTTCCTACTTCTAAGCGCGTGTTGCCTCCGTTCTTCGACGTCAACTCGAGAGTTCAGTGAAGAAACGAGCCGAAGAAATGGCGGATCGAGAGGTGCAGAGTCAGTAAGTAGTTGATTGTTTTCGGTTTATAACGTTTTTAGATGTATGGGCGCAAAATCATTTTACCTGTTTTGCAATTGACTATCGTATCTGTCTCGTATCTATCGAGAAAGCGATGCTGTGCTGCTGTCAACAGCTCAAGAAATAACGTGATAAATGACATAAGTTGATTTTTTTCTGTTATTTGTACTTATTTCATCACATATATTCGCGTCAAATGAACATACTCTTATTAAATTTTTATATATATATTATATAGAATATTTAAACTAAAAGTATTTAATTAACAAAAGTTTCAATTGTCTTAATGATTAAACAAAACTTCACAAAAAGCTTATTCCCTTGTGTTAATAACCGTCTGTTTACAACGTTCGAACTCGAGAAATACACTCTTCCACTTTTAGAAGTCAAAGGGTTTAAGTAGCTTAAAGTTTCCCTTCTCTTGGTGAAATTATTTTCGGTGTTTAAAGTTTGAGTTAATAAGCTGTGTTTACTTTTTAATATACATATGATTAATACTCATTTTTTTCTACAAGATTTAATTCGGGTAGTTCAGTGTTTCTCGACATGTAAATCGCAGATCCCTCAGTTTCATCAACTATTAGGTAGGACGTTGCGTTCTAAAATGTAAAAGTGCTATTTATTTGTTTAAGGCAGATGAACGAATGAGTTAATTAATTATATTTTGTAGAAAGATTTGGTTAAGATTAATTTTATGCCAATAATTTTACAATATATTTTGTTGATAATTATTTACATTATGATTGTTAAGCGTTTCCTTTTAATTCTGTTTTGAAGAGGCATATTTGATATACATTATACACGTAATATAAATGTTTTATTTAAAACAATAGATCTAATACGTGTTAAAGCAGCACTTTATAAACGTTATTTGTTCAATGATCAGAAGTTTTATATGAAAGTACCAAATAACATTACAGAGAAATTCACTTATTCGACCGGTTTATTATTTATCGGTCCACAAAGCGGGAGAAATGATATTCAGAATGAATATATAAGTACGACACTGTTACGTTATACACTCCTTTTCTGTTGAAAGCGACCAGGAATCACATGATGCCACCCGGCATGGAATAGCCACAAGCAATGCGACTCGATGGTCTAGGTGGACCTTTAACTAATAACTTATCAGTTAAAGGCTTTTTCTTTTTTCTTCAGTTTTTAATGTAAACTTGTAATTATGCTTTGTGTGAATGTCGGACACACACGAAAACAAAATTTAATTTTTACTTAATTACGGGGCGTCGGTGTCCGTTTATTTAGAACAGTGTTTGTTAACCTTTACCCCGTTTTTTAACTCTTTCCTTCCTGTGGGCACTAAGAGGGCCTCTTTTTGCAAGCTCATTATGGGTTCAGCCAGGCCCACATTGGGGCTGCCGGGTGGTGAGGGACGGGGCCCGTCATATCTGAACGTACCACACCCGAAAAATTCCTGGAGATTTTTTCGACCCGTTCGGATTCGAACCCGGGTCCCCCAGAGCGGTTAGCTGCCACCTTGACCGCTCGGCCATCCGGCCGCTGTTTCTTAACCTCTAACGAATCGTCGCCCCCTTCAATAAAACCTTCCCTCTCTTAACAAACTTGTTTATTTGTACTTATTAAGAAAATATTGTACATTGCTACTTATTAAGAAAAACAAACTGCAATTCCGAAATTGCATCGTTTCCTGATACGGAAGACCCTACGAAATAGATTTTGATTATCGCGGAACTATAAAAACCCAAGATGATCAGCTATTACAAAAACTCTGACTAATATTTTAATTAAAAATAGATATTATTCATTTATTGTTCATACACCATACTCGGAAATACTACAACTACCATACAGTAGAACAGAGATGTTTGTTTGAAAGTAATAATAAATACCTTTTTGTTGTTTTAGGATTTCTTCGAGTGGGATACGAATCCGAAACGAAGAAAACGAAGAAATTATTATATCAGAAGCTCAGTTAAATAAAGTTCTGAACAGGCAATTGGAACTTCTCATTACATATGTTGAAAGTTCGAAAGTACTGTTTATGCCGTATCGAATCGAGACCATCAGACAATTCGTTAAGTAAGTTTTTCACGATGCTTACCTTTCATTTAATTTCAATACTTTGTAATACATTATAATTTATATTTTTTAAACAGTTATGTACAGACGGACGATCCCGGATTGACATCTATTACACACGCATTCGATCTCTATAAATTGAGTTTAAGATACGAGTTAGATAATTTAAGACTGAAATGCAGATCATTTATCATCCAGCAAATAAATCTTCATACCGTCTGTGCAATCCACGATTTTGCACGTGAGATCGGTGATCTGCTCATAACTTACTATTGCTGGCAAGCTTTCGACAAACACGGAGAAAGACTATTTGCAACAGTCGACTTTATGTGCTGTAAAATTGCAACAATTGATAGACTGCTATCTCGAGCGATATATGAATCTGTCAGTGAAGTGCGTTTATTCGAAGCCGTGTATGACTGGAGCATAGAAGAAATTAAAAGAAAATTGGGTGCCTGCTGCTTCCTTTCGATGAATGAAAAATCGAAAAGAAATGAAATAAGAAATGTTATGAATCTATTTATTGGAAAAGTCAGATTTCTTGCCATGAATGAAAACGAATTGCAACGTTTTGTTTTTAAAATGAACTTGTTAAGCGAATTAGAAAAAAGTCATATCTGGCATGCTTTTAAGTATAATTATTATTCCTTGTATCCCAGTTACTTCAGTCGAGAAACAAAAACCAGAAGCAGAAAAAATTATTATAGCTTTTTCTCATACATAAATCGTGGAGATCCTTTTATGGTCGCAAACAGAAATATGAAAGATCACAGATATTTTAGCAGCGAAGTAGTTGTGAGGGAAGATTGTTACGTTACGGCTCTTCGATTTCCGATTAAGCTTCGCGAATGTTTTTCAATGTTCGTATACGGGTATATTAATAAGAATTTGGACAACGAACAGTTTTCGTTTGAAACCGTTTGCAATTCAGACGGAGTAGCATATCTGCAAACGACTTTGTATCTAGAAAAATCTTGGAAAATTCGTTTCTTTGCTTACTTTTTCCGAGCTGAAAATGTCCAACCCGATATCGAGTTTTTACCTGAACTGAGTTACTTTGTGAGCGACGAGGAAACAGATGCTAGGAAATTTGAAGACAAAATTTTAACCTGTGACAGAAACCTTATGAATAATATTTACTTTTCGGTTGATTTATATTTTTGAAGTCAAAAGTTTTCCTGGAAACAAGTGAAATTCAAACGAGAATATAAAGTTTATTCGAATATGATTATTTCTTACTGTATCAATGTAAAATTTCCGCAAAACGTGTGTGTACGTGAACGGGATAACGAATTTTATTGGGTTTACAAAAAACAAAATTTTAATTTAAAGTGCCTATTAATGTAATTTTTTCTGAAAAAATATATTGTCATTATTTGTGTTTTTTTTAATTCAAAATTCAGTATAAGCAAATATATCATCATCAAGAACGTTTATAATTGTCAGTATTTTTATGATACATACGTGAGTGATTTTACTTTTTATTGTAGTAGATGTCCGAGAAATAAATATAATTACAATCTTACAGCATTAATCTTTTCATATTCTTATCGTCATTAACATGAAGGAAGAAAAGTTAAGACTAGAATTTTTGTCTAAATGTAAAAGCTATTCGATATCCGCATTTCAATTTCAGTATTTACGGTATTGTTCTTTGTATTCGTTGTATAGAATGTGATGTCTTACAATTCTTTTTATCTACGAGACTTTGCGTAAATTTAATTGCTTTCAAATTTGATTTTTTTTTTAAGTAAATGTGCCTGGAACTCTTACCTGGTTACTTACATTATCCGTTAAAAGAACAGTGCGTTTAAAACGAGTTGACGGCAAAATTTCTACAGCACCAGTTTGCATTAAAGATCATTATTCAAAAGAAGCTTTAAAAGGTGTAACTTTAATACTACGAGTTTACACTAGGGTAGTTTTATTAGCGTTACTGTACTTATTTTTAATACTAAACAATGGGACTAGAGATCATTCAAAAATTTTCGAATAGTTTTTTTTTAANTGTGAGTGTACGTGAACGGGATAACGAATTTTATTGGGTTTACGGAAAACAAAATTTAAATTTAAAGTGCTTATTAATGTAATTTTTTTCTGAAATGTATGTTGTCATTAGTCGAGTTGTTTTTAATTCAAAATTTAGTATTTGCAAATATATCATCATCAAGAACGTTTATAATTGTCATCATTTTAATGATATTTACGTGGGTGATTTTATTTTTCATTGTAGTAGATGTTCGAGAAATAAATATAATTACAATCTTATAGCATTAATCTTTTCATATTCCTATCATCATTAACATGAAGAAAAAAAGTTAAGACTAGAATTTTTGTCTTAATGTAAAAGCTATTCGATATCCACATTTCAATTTTAGTATTTACGGTATTGTTCTTTGTATTCGTTGGGTAGAATGTGATGTTTTACAATTGTTGTCATCTACGACACTTTGCGTAAATTTAATTGCTTTCAAATTTGATTTTTTTAAGTAAATGTGCCTGGAACTCTTACCTGGTTACTGACATTATCCGTTAAAAGAACAGTGCGTTTAGAACGAGTTGACGGCAGAATTTCTATAGCAGCAATTTGCATAAAAGATCACTATTCAATAAAAGCTTTATAAAGTGTAACTTTAACACTACGAGATTATACTTTGGTAGATTTATTAGCGTTACTGTACTTATTTTTAATACTAAACAATGGGACTAGAGATCATTCAAACATTTTCGAATAGTTTTTTTAATATACAATTTTTAACAGAAAATATAAAAAACATTCTTTTATTATATTTACAGCAATCTCATTTTAAAAAATTTTTGTCATATTATTAATTTAAAAATTTATATATTTTATTTTGTGGCAATTTCAATGATGCTGCCTTATTGCATGCCTGTTTTATGAATAGATATATTTAAGTACAAAGACGAAGTATTTAAGTAATTTTTTAAATTTTCTTCTGTTTTGTGTAATACTAACAGAAGACATTTATTACCGAATGTTGTTTTCTTTTTTAATTGAATACAATACAAATTTCTTATATCATGCTAGAGTCGAAAAGTTTCTTTTCAGTTCGTCTCTTCCTCCCCAACATAAAGTATAACCCACATGAAACGTAATTAGTTAATAAGTGAAAAAGTTGTAGAACAATACAGAAAATTGTGAGACAAAAATGTTATTTTAATTACAACTTGTAGGAATTAGTATTTTTTCTATCAGTCTGACTTATTTCTAGCTTTATAGATGTAATAAGCTAATTGATAGGCTTTTAAAGCTATTTTCTTGAATAATGTTTAGTGGGTGTTTACACGCATTAATTTTAAACATATAAATTCTCATAAATTAAATTCTATTATAAAAAATATTTCTTAGATACATTTTAGCATTATAAATAAATATATATATATATAATCTTTTTCTATGTGGTACTAAAATTAAGATGAATTATTCCAATAGATGGCGAATTGAAGAAACACGGGCATAGGAAAATTTAAAGACAAAAAATTCACTTTAATTTCATAATGTGAAATTTTAATATAAATAACATTAAATTAAGCACTTAAAACCTTACCGGTATATCATCAACGAAAATTATTTAAAAGATAGACTCGAATACAACTTATAAAACTGCAATTTAATACATTCATCAAATTATTATTATTATTTTTTTTTGTTTACTAAAGACACTACTCTGATCTATTACTACAGTGCCAATATTCCATAAAACCTAATGGAAATATTTGTAATTTATAGTTCTTGTATTAATTATATACAACACCGTGTTCAGTTATTCCATTAAGACTTATCGATTTTGTATTCGGTAATATGATGGAAACTATATGTACAGGTACTATACATCAGTAATTTTATATTAACCTCAAGATACCTTTTGATTACTTCAGTCTATTACATGTAACACGTTCAGGAACATAGAATAATCTTTTACTAAATTTCTTGAAAACCGTTAGTCATAGTGATAAATCAAACAATTTTTAACATGTAATTATTATCCCACGATATTCAATCGCAGATGACCGTTTCTCCTCATAGAGAAACACTTAACTTCATTTATTTATTCATTAGAGCTGTTCAGGTGTTTGGAATTCAGATATTGTATGGAAATAATCGTCCAATAGGCACTAAACGTTATGTGAGATTAGCAGTGGGCCACTGGGCTCATCCCAAATGACCACTTACTCTGCAACAGGTTGGTAAAACCCGTTCTCGGCTTGTCGGATGGCTAGGAGGGCAAAAATTTGAGTGGGGAGTGCGTCGGTAAGTCGGCAGGTGTACATCAGAGACAGGAGACAGGTTTAAAACTAAACAAGCATTTATTTATATAACTAAGCTAGGATACATAGGTTAAATGCGATTAAATAAGTTNTCCGGCAGAAAAAGAAAGTTACACTATCAACATGAACTATAAAGAAAACATAAACAAAGGGACACGAACAAATATATACACTGACGGGTCACGCACACCGGATGGTGTAGGAAGTGGCATAATAATAAAAGGAGAAAATGACCAAATAACTTATTGTGAGATTAGCAGTGGGCCACAGGGATCATCCCAAATGACCAAATGACAGTGGTCATTTGGGATCATCCCAAATGACCACTGTCTGCAACAGGTTGGTAAAACCCGTTCTCGGCTTGTCGGATGGCTAGGAGGGCAAAAATTTGAGTGGGGAGTGCGTCAGTAAGTCGGCAGGTGTACATCAGAGACAGGAGACAGGTTTAAAACTAAACAAGCATTTATTTATATAACTAAGCTAGTATACATAGGTTAAATGCGATTAAATAAGTTTACTATACAAAAGGGACGCTCTAATAGCTTTCCTTCTAGTCTGAGAGAGAGTTCACAAAGCTCTAAAAAGTACAAATACCTCTATGCGGATATGTCTAATATGCGTTCGTTGAACAGGTTCGTTAATGGCGATGGAAGTTCAAACGGCTGTGGTTGGTCATATGTCCTGTCGGTCCGGAGTATGGAGACAAATATGGCACATCTACCAAGTATAACTTCCGAGGGATCGCGCGGAGCTTTCGGGGACTCGAGCTTTTATACGTTATTCGTGGGAAATGAGTCACGTGATCGACTTCTGTTGATACTTACGGTGCATTCCGATTAACTAACTGTCAACTTTCCCACCTTAATGTGAAAACAATCGGTGACCTTCAATATACTTCTCACCAAGAGTGGGTTTTTCCCATCGGAGTTGTTTACAAAGATTTTTCCGACATTGGCGTAAAAATCGCAGATTTCACATTATCATCACTGAAAATTGCCAACCATTGCACAACAGTACAAGCCGAGAGTTTTGCGGTTTACAAAGCTCTTCAATACATCGAGAAGAACAAGAACCAATGCAAAGATGACATAAACATTTTCACGGATAGTCAGACAACTCTGCACTTGCTTAAAACGAAGAACAGAAGAACAAAACTAATAAACAAGCTAATTGAACTATCAGAGAAAGTCCACAAAAAGCAGAAAATCACACACAACTGGATACCAAGTCACAAAGGTCACGACGGAAACGAAAAAGCAGACGCATTGGCCAAACGTGCAACAAAAATCAATACAAAAGAGTGCTACACCAGGATCCCAACAAGTGAAATCAAAAGACAAATAAGGAATATAACGGACAAACAATGGCAACAGGAATGGAATGATTCAACAACTGGCAGACATTGTTACAAATTCTTTCCAAACATCAAAGATAGACTACAAAATAAAAGCTTTAAACCGTCCTTTGGAAACACACAATGCATTACTGCACACGGCAACTTTAAAGCATATCTTTATCGCTTCAAAAAAACGGATAAACCTATGTGTGATGTGGACATTGACAAAGAAGACAATGTTCACCACTACATATGTGAGTGCACGAAATACATAAAACAAATGGAACGAACTTACTGAAAGCTGTCTACGTGCAGGTTACAACTGGCCGCCTAAACACACTGACATGGTGACCAACAAGAACCTCATAAAGGCATTAGAAACTTACATTACAGAAACGCAAGTAATGGTAAAATTTCCTCACCAAAATCACCAACGTACTCGCCGCAACCAGAAAAATGAACGTGAGAAGAATTCAAAAACAGAAAACGAAAACATCGATATAGAAGAAGATTATGAGGACGACAACAACAAAGAAGAAATAACGACTAGTGAAGAAAGCGAAGACGACAACGAAGACAGCTACACGGACTAACCGAAATTGAAAGTATATGTAATTAAGGATTAACAATATAATCATGTAAACCCATTGGGTATTTTAGTTTTTTAGTTCAATGGCAATTAAAAAAAAAATTGTAAATGGTTAAGTAAACCATAAGTATATAATTTGTAACACATTTTCTTTAGACTTGTAGATTGTGAACGGTTGCCCATTAGAAAATGATATCACAATGTTAATGTTGTGTTCTTATTCGAACTACTGTACATAAATATATAAGTTAAAATTGTCAGGACTTAAATAATTGGATTGTAACCAGTTTGTATATTTATCTGGTATACAAAATGTATGATTTTGTCTTAATAAAAGCGGAGCCGACGCGCAAGGGTCCCATGCCTTCCTTTACACTATCCTGTCCTACTGTATTTCACA